ATTACCTTTATATGGGTCCCCTCAGAAGGCAGACTCTTTCGCAAAGGTGGGCGCACAACAAGGCGAGATTTATAATAGAAGAATTTTATATGACGAATTTTTCCCATTAGTATGTCAGAGTTCTCTCCTAAGTTGGCAGAACGATTGGACAAGTAATTGTTTTGGGCGGTGGTTACATTCCATTACTCCAAATGTTTCTTCGAGAGCGTGGTTCAAAGGTCTGGATCCCTACATGCAGGCGATCTACGAATTCCTTTGTTTGTCTGGTGTTAGAGTTTGATGTGACCATCCCCTCCTTTCCACATATTTTCCAGCCATTATCCACCTGTTTTCGTGCTAATTGCATCATGCCCAGTCAGTATTTGGTGTACCGTTCCAGAGTAGTATCTGAAGGAGGCTTCAGAAACCTGTTTTCTACCTAGCTTCTTCCAATCGAAATTGTTACCCATTAACCTTGAGCCTGCCACGAGTAATTGGTACCCGATACTAACCTAGATTTACTGCTGTTTAAAAAGTTAATTAAAAAATTACGGATTTCTGGCTCCGCAAAGTGTCACACACGACTGAGCCTAGTAAATAAACGAACTAGTTAAAAAAATAATAAAATGTATTTGCCAAGGTTGTTAACAACTTCAAATTTTCAGATCTTTGAACTTCGAAAAAAAATTTCGAGGTCTCAGACTTGGAGAAATTTTAGAGATCATGGACTGAATTAAATCTTCCAATATTCTGCCACTTCAACAATCATCAAGATCTTTAATTTTAGAGTGGCGCCGGTGATGTAGTGGTAAGCGTGATTACCTCTCACCCCAGAAGGCCTGGGCATAACAACTCTGATCAAGTAAGTAGTAAGTAAAGCCCCCGGTTCATGAGTTGATGGGTCGATATGTAGAGTCCAGGTGTGAGAGCTGTCTTCCTGGCGTCGGTAGCATCGGTGCTCAGCACGGAAAACAAGATCGACGGTAATCAAATCAAGGAAAAAAAAAAGATTCTTATTTTTTTTTAAAATTAATAAAATCCAAGGGGTAAGTCACTCAGCACAGTGTGCCGAAAGAAGATTCGGCACAGCTTGGGCTCATCCATAGGCACACCTTCGGCACACCTTCGGCAAAATCTCGTAGGCATTGGATTGATCATTAAATAAAATGGGAACACTGCTGGACAGCTGTCATTGAAGTTGTTCGCAACATTCACTGTGTATTTCAGAAACATACTCTAATTGAATATACTAGAGGAACTCTGACCAGCAATTCACTTCTCGGCTCACATTTAAATTTGAAATGTAGGCTTTCGAGGGCTGTCGATTGCTATCGATGCCGGACACAAGTCTTTCAACTACTACGCAAATGGAGTGTACTACGAACCGGAATGCAAGAACAATTTGGATGGATTGGATCATGCAGTGGTGGCGGTTGGATGTGGAAAACTCAAAGGAGAGATTACTGGCTAATCAAGAACTCCTGGTCCAACTACTGGGGCAACGATAGAAATGCTTTGATGGCGGTGAAGGGTAACATCTGTGGCCTATCGACCGATGCGACGTATGTAAATTTGAAGTGAGATTTCTGTTCAAACTAGAATTAAGTAAAAGATTTGTTTTGCTTTCGAATATGTGTCATCTTATACGAGATGGAATAGATGATTTTCGATTTTTGTAACATAAAATAATAAAAAAAAATTAGGTTGAGTGGAAGCAATAAAAATTCCGTGTGATTGTGCCGTGAAAAATAGTTCGGTATTGTTCAAGTGAGTTTGGTTTGGTAGATGACCAATTGACCAAGTACTGGTGATTTGCTGCTGAAAAGCAGGGTCCTTACAAGGTCGCATCTTATCACTCCCGAGCCGTTGCCTCAACATAATTATTTTTTATCAAATTCTCCCGGAACTCCAACCCAATGGAAAAACCGAACTTCTTAGCTTGCGATCCTCTTTCTTGGCATAACCGATTCTGACGTCGAAAACCTCCGAGAGCTTCTTGCCCAGAATCATCACCTTGAGCAGTTCCTCTTCCAGATTGAGCAGAATGGTGTAGTGCTTCTGAAACGTTTTCTTCAGTGGTCAGCGAACGACATTGGAGCAGTAGGACTTGTAACGCGCTCCGAGAGCACAGATGATCGATCCGAAGTGCAGATAGGTCTTGTCGCTGAATGCACTGAACTTCAAGTTGTAATTGCCACCCGACTGAATAATCGCCACTTAGCATATGTCCGACTAATTGGTATCCACACCGAAGACGTACCTTTTGTCCGTCAAAGCCTGCTCGACACCCTCCGACAGTTTGGCATGATTTACTTTCTTATCAGCATAGATAATCTCCATGATATAATCCTTGAGGTACTTGTTGAATACGTCTACGGTCACCAGGCAGGCCTCCTTGATGGTGTTAACCTCGAAGTCCTCTTTGGAGCACATGATGTACCCGATTGGGACACTGATGTCCACCGTGTCGAAGCTCTTGTCCTTGACGAAGGCTCGCTACGATTCACAGAATTCACCCGCGAAGTTGTGCTCGAAGAACGTCCAACGTTTTGTCATCCTTGGAACCCTTGATCGCCTCCAGCAGCTTTTCAAAATTGGCCTTGTCTTTGTCGTTTGTATCCCGAACCAACAGCTTCACCAACGGAATGCCCTCTTCACCGTCCTTCTCGATCTGCTTCAAGAAGATCTTCTTCTTGCTGATCAGGAAAAAGATGGACTTTTCGCACAGCACCGTAATTGTATCGGTCAGCTCGGTCTGCAGCGCGGTGGATTTGCTGTAGATGGTTTTCTCGTCTACGCCGACCGCCGTCAGAATGCAATCCACTTTCTGCAGCGAATCATCATGGAAAACTCTGGTTCTTTCAATATGATGTACAGGCGTTTTATTCGTCGGTAGAAGGAATCCTTATCGAGCACGTTATTCGATATGTTCACCAAACCAAAACACTGAAGCTATCAGAAATACCGGGTTGCCAAATATACCTTAACATTCGTATTTTACAAAAAATCGCAGCTTGCTCTATGACCAGCACTGCACACGACACGCCTGCGGAACACTTGCTGCACACTGAGAAAAATGTTGACCCAAGATTGGTGTGCGGAGTGACCTACCCCTTGATAAAATGCTAAACCAACATTTTTAAAATAAGCTAGAACTAAACTTTGTTAAAGATGCAAGCAAAATCCCAGTTTCTTCTGGATTTTCTCGGTTATACTTGTACCCTGTAAGACAAATTTTTGAATATTATTTGAAAATAATATTGAATTGAAATTTCATATTAGGATTGCAGCTATTACAGACAGTATTTCCCGGTAGTCTGACCGTTTTTAACCTGTTCACCTTTAAATTTGAACCCCGCTAATCTGCACGCCGTGCAAACTTAAATATGCTCAAACGTCATTCACCATACAGGAATGGAATAATGCGAAATGGAACATTGCGCACAATCAAAACAAAACAGTAAATAAGGCTACCAGAAAAACGCTTTTTCTGATACTTTGCCCCTATTGATAATTATTGGAGGAACCAAAAGTGCCATGCCCCCTCCTAAATTAGCGCCTTTGCTTATCGATAACGACACAATTTTATTTTTGTCCGACATTTGAAGGAATCAGTGTGAATTATAGATACTATAGATTCCATAGATAAGCGGAGGCACAAAAAGTTGTTTTGGCAACCATGAGTAATAAATGATCTTACTGGCATCCGTGAAAAAAGTTCATGCTATCATAGAACTCTTCGTTGGGCAATTTTGTTTTGCTTCGTGCGCAAAAGTTCAAAATGTAGTGCAAAGCAAATCTTTGCAATGGTTTGCTTTATCTTTCGTTCTTCCGTTGTCCGCGAAATAGATCGGAATGTGGAGTGTGGAAAGTGTTTAGTGCTCATCATATTACAATACTTCTCCCTCAAACAACACCATGTTGACGTCATGCTTGTTTGGCTACAATATACTTTGCCTCCGCTTATCTATGGAATCTATAGTATCTATAGTGTGAATAAGTGAAATCCGAAATCTGCAGTACTTATCTCGTAATTCAATTGAAAAAAGACAGACTGCAATGCTCATAGCTAAAGCCGCATCTGATCCACCCTATTTATCACTTAGACACAGACAAACAGACATAACTCTTAGAAGAGAATTCTTCAAAAAATATCGTCAAGCGTATTTTGTATGCACACTAGCACCCTCTATCTTGCACATTCCGAAGCATTGATTTGCAACCGGAGCTTCCCTCGTCCATGCAATTTTCCAACTAGTTGCTTTTTCCTCGTTCTGTCAACGCGTCAGCTGTGGTGTAAAAAAATAAACAAATGCAAGTCAGTGATGCCGGATCCGCAGAAATACTACTCAGGCTATGTGTAGGGATTTGTTTTGTTTGTTTTGCGTAATTTTTATCGGAACGACAAATGTGTAGCTTTTCGAATGTAATATTCAATGCATTCCTGACGTTGCTGAAAATTACGATAGCATCGGAATGCGGTGTTGCTAGTGTATTATAATGCTTTGTTGATTATTCATAAACTCTTGATCGCTGGGAATACTTGTGAATATTTGAGGTGGACGAAAGATTGAACAAAGAGGGAACGCCGAAACTTTTTCACATTTACATCCCTGTGAAGCAACTGTTGAGGGAATTTATATCTGTAACTGTACCCAGCTCGTTTTTGTTTGCTGATCTGGCTAAATGTTATACTTAATTATCTTAAAGATAAATTGTCCAGCTCAAATATTTGTAAGAGGAACCATCATCATCATCATCATCATCAATAACTTTTTTCTGTATTCGTCAAATTAGTATGTGGAATGCATTCCCACGAACTGGCACCACTGATAAGTTCCAAATATGCTGGCTTGCTTAACGCTTCAGTGGCGCCACCATGACAAATGCGATCACATTCCGAACTGAAACCTTATTTGCGAAGAATGTGATTGTGAGGATTATTTTTATTTGTCTGTGACTTAGATCTGATTGAAATAGCATAAACAATTAACCACTCCCCTGCGCCTGTCCCCCACAAGGTACCACTTCACCATCGAGCTACCGCACCGTGCCCGGCCGCATTCCTACGAGGATGAAGATTTCTTCCAGCTGCGCAAGGGCTGGGGCCAAAACCACTTCGTTGACCTCAAACTGCTGCTGGACGACTTTGTCGAGAACGATTCCTTCGAGATACGGTTCTCCGTTCGATCGCCGCATTTAATCGAAAAGTACGACTGCCTGCGGAAATACGCTGACAAACTGGAGCGATGCAATTCCGCTCTTCGAGAGTATGTTTGACGAATGTTTTATTTTTGGGAGCATTTCTCAAAAAGGAATTATAATTTTCAGAGAGTGTGTCGTAGACTGCATCAACGAGATCTGCTGCATTCGGAACGTGACGGAGGCATGCAACAACTACAGTTGTCTGTATTCGGACACCTTCCGGGATGACCTTGGTGGATCGTGGAGACTTCAGGTCTTCCCCGGGGGAAATGGTGAAGTCAAAGGGATGTTTGCTTGTATATTTTTGGAACTGGTCGAAGGAATTCCTAACATGTAGGTTCACTTAATATAAAATCCAGTTTTTCGACAACGTATACTAACTAAACACCCCCGACAGGTACGAATTCTCCGTGGACCTCATCAACGAGTCCCCGAAAAAGTGCATCAAAAAGTCGCTGGAGCACACCTTCCAACCGTGGATGCCTTTCGGTTGGAAGAATTTCGTCTCCCGTGAGGAACTACTGGACGGAGGATTTCTCAAGAAGGACGCCTTGATGATCCGGCTAGCGGTGCGACCACCCACCGTCGGCCACAAGTTCAACTACCTCCGGCAGTATCACGACAAAGCAATTAGGGACCTAACGCAGCAGCAGGCTCAAAGCAAAGCTGGGTCCTCCTCGTCGCCGCTGATTTCCGCCAAGACCTTCGAGGCTCCGATAAGTTTCTTCAAGAAGATGCTTCCCAGAACGCCCAGTCAAGAGCAGGGAACTCCTCCCAAGTAAATCACACAGGTAAATCAGAATAAATGTAACCGAACACTCATTGTTGGTCAAACTGTACTGTAATCTGTTGCTCTTTTTTCCGGACGATAAATCACAGCCGAGGCGTGAACTCGTGATTCATAAATCACGCACATGGACCGGTGTGGGTCTGTCGAGTGCAGCAATCGTTAACCGCTCGAAACAACAGGTTGGTTGGCTGGTTCGAAAAGGTCGATAAATATCCGTTTTTAATTCTCTTCAATTACCTGCTTTTAACGGTCTAAACAGGGGTATAAATTTGTAGAAATGATGACCACTTGTGTGGGGGATAGCGTGCGAAAACGGTCGGATAGAACTCGATCGGTTTTACAACTCATGAATATGCGCGGGGATAGCGAAAGCCTTACGTTGGTGGGCGGTCAGTCCGTCAGTCTGTCAGTCAGCGTGGAGAATGGGTCGTATTTTGTGTGCTCCGTAGGCTGCGGATGAATGGGATAATAAAATATGCTTAGAGCGCAGGTTAAGTATCGGGCTTTGCTACATTGGCACATTCCGGAATGGTTTGTTGCTGGTGTTGATTAACAACAATATGGAGACGACAATTTGTGACTGCAAATGGGATATGTAGATTGGAGGGATTTACACCGTTAACCGGTGCGGGAGATTTACGGTTCGACAAGATACTAACGAGATAAGATCAACTAATGACTGGTGAGGAACGGTAAGTGGTCTTGGAGAAGGATTGTGATGGTCGGGTTATGAAATTCTAATGAAATCTAAGTGCATGACATTTGGGTGCGTGACCTTCAGCGTGAGAGGTATGCATGCTAAACACTACTCCTGGCCTGTTCAAATATATCACTGAATCTGAAGGTCAAAGCAAATCCACCAATGTTAACACTGCATAGAATTTGAGAAACTTCTTCACACAAATTGTGGGAATAGGACTTAATGAGTGATAAACAAAAAATAACCGAAAGACATTTAGCTGAATGGATATTAAACCGAAACAACATTTCAACATATTTTTTGGAATAGAATTTGGAAAATTTACAGAATGTCGACTCACATAGTCAGACACTATTCTAAACATCTTCAAAGAATCAAAAATGTATGTGAAGTCTTTCGAAGTTCTTGCATACTTTCAACTGAACTGAAAAATTCGAAAAGAGCCCTTTCAGACATCCCCTCATCATACCAGCATGACCAGCAGTTATGATAAAGACCATCAGCTCTTCAGATATTCTATTTTAGGGTGTCCCAGAAAGTATAATCACACTTTCAACTCACCACCATTTCTACCCCGATGAAGTTTATCAGCTGTTCATTGATGAAATCATCAAAATGCGAGGCATTTCCCCGGAAAAGTGCAAACAGATCGTGCACAAATGGTGCACTATTCCCAACCTATCAGTAAGGCATTTGGAGAAAGTAAGTATCGGAGTAGTCCAAACCGCCATCCGGAAGTTTGGTGAAGAAGTTACCTTCGACACATCGAAATCTGGTCGTAAACCGGGACCGGTTGACCAAAAAGTGGACCAGAAGATCACCAAGCTTTGGTCAATAAGAAAAGTGCCTCTGTTCGAGATTTGGCCAAAAAAGTAAGAGTAACGTCCAAAGTGCCATAGATAAAAACGGGCTGAAAACGTTCAAGAAAGAGAAGAAGCCGGAACGGAGTCAGAAACAAGCCGCATCCATCAAACCGAGGGCTCGGAGGCTATATGATAGCCTGCTGTGTGGAAAATTGACGTGTGTTATCATCGATGATATCAAATTCGACTACAAGGCGCTTCTGAGAGACCAATGCTACACTGTCCATGCCAATAAGTTAATTTTTAATCGAAAAATTTAGAAGTGGTTTGAGGATTCTTGTTCACTATACAATACATCTTAAAACTATAGTCAACAGGTACAACACAATAAACACTTTATCTTCCACTATCCAATAAAGGTCCGTTTAGACTATCTGATTTCTTGGTTTGATTTTGACCGCCGCCATAATGAAAAATCCGCTCGATTTTACTTTCGACACACTTTGTCAAACCCCCCTGTTTGCTAATATTCACACTGTTTGCACAATGCACATGTCGAAAGAACTGTTAATTTAGATTTCAAAACATAACTGTATCAGGAATCAAAAGTAAATACTTCCATAATGAATTACTTTGTGGAGTAGGAAATGGTTGCTCTGGACGAACACCGGCAGGGATCTGGCTCATCTTGTCTTTCAAGAACTGCGATATGAAGACGAAAAAGTATTTCAAAACTTCACCAGGATGTCGATAACAACTTTCGACAAGCTAGTGGGAAGAGTTCTTGATCGATCTACATGATTCCTTCATTTACGATTGCATTCTGCTGAGTGAGCTGAGTGAGAGCTCTGCAGTCAGAATCACTTTTTGTTTTCTCGCTATAAACATAAATTGATACATATAAATTGGTATCAACGTGGAGAAGAGTATTACATTCTAACACAAACGCAAATATCGTAAAACTACTTTGACCAATTCAAATCCAAAAAATATCTCACTCGGCTATTTAAATCGTTAGCGATCGGTTTTTACGCTTTCAGTCGGTTTCTCCCTCGGTAGAGAAAATAGTTCGGCTGCCTTTCCGTTTATCCTTCATTCCTTTTACTGTAGAGGTTTGCAAAAGGACTCATCTTGCTGAGCAAATCTGACTCGTTCAGCTCACTAAGGTGAGCCGGTTCTTTTGAACAGCTCTTCAGCTCATTTTTAAATTAAATAAATATTAACACACACTAAATCAATAGTGAAAAATCAGAAAAGAAATCTATGGTTTTGGTTACCAATAAGGTTAAAACTACATCAATAGGTGAAATTAAATAGTCTATACATTTTAAACCATTAAATCCGTAGTTTGAAGCGTGGCCCAACTTTTCAAATAAAGACTTATGACACCACTGACGCTTTGAACAGTCAATGCGTAAACCAAAATGTGCGTGTAATACAAAATGTACCTACTGATCGATAGCATCATTGAGCAAACTTCCAAAGGGCATGTACACAGAGAGGGGCTACGTAAATGTCTCGTGCAATTCAATCCAGCAGATTTGCTCTCACCAAGAGGTGGTCATTCTACACACTCATTTTGCGCCAATTTTTTTTATCAGTGTACCTCAAGAGTGCCGCAGCTGCCGCAGCTTGTTTGTGAATATTCAGGCATGTTTGGCAACCCGGTTTTGCAGATAGATTGAATGTTTTGGTTTGATCGAGCCACTCAAAAATATCAGTAAATCTTAAATAAATTCTATACGCACCGCTTAGATTAAAAGGTAATCTATAGTAGATAGCTTATGAATAAACATTTCATGTATAAAAAAAAAGTAGAAAGGTATCAGTTTTCTGTCGAAACGTGATGGTGTAAATCTTCATACATACAAAGATCATTATTAATTTTCTAGAAATGTAAAGCAAAAATGTTCGAAAGGCATAACATCCACAAAATGGAAATCAGTGTTACTTAGCACGGAAGTGAAATACCAACTATCGATTGGAAATGAACAGCATTATGGTGCAGGATTTGTGTTGGTTGCTGAAGATTATCAGCTTCCGAACGAGGAGGAAACCATTTGGGATCGTTGGAAAAAGGAAAAGGTTTTCGAAACCTGTTTGATGGAATCTAAATATAAAGGGATGTCAAGGTAAGTTCTTTGTATTTTTTTTACATAGTTCGAAAATTCAATAGTTGCGGATGTTATTGTCTTATGCATTATCTGCGGCTTTGCATCGTTGCTTGTGAGTCATCGATTTGTAAACCATTTATTTCTTCGGTCCAGATACACATTTTACGATGGTCCACCGTTTGCAATCGGGCGGCACCATGGCGGGCCCTATTCTGGTCAGAACGATGAAGGATGTTTTAACCCGATATGCCCACCAGTAGGAGTACGTGGATATGTGGAGCGCCACATTGATTGGAGTTGTCATGGGTTGCCAGCTGAGTACGAAATCGAAAAGACATCAAGGCGTACAACAACGAGTGCCGGCAGATTTTGATGCGCTATGCAAACGACTGGAAGGAGATTACCAGCTGGACGGTGGATCGATTTGAAGAACGACTGCAAGATACTCTATCCTTTGTGAATGGACTCAATCTTGTTTGTGTTCAAGGAGCTGAAACGTCTGCGGTGATGAGTTCATTAGCATATCAAATTACTCTACAAACATCAAAGAGCACTGGGACTGCTAATCCAGTGTTCAGCAGTTCTATGAAAATATTCTGTAGACAAAAACATGTCACAAAACAATAATGCACTTTATACTAGAATTATTATACAGTAGACTTAAAAATAAATTAATTGAAATAATGATGGTTATTCCGAGAGTCGAAGTGACTTTTGTCACTAGTGAAGTGAGAAAAGTCACGTCGTGGTGACGTGACTCTCCATTTGATTTGCACAGAGAGTCACGTCACCACGACGTGACTTTTCTCACTTCACTAGTGACAAATGTCACTTCGACTCTCGGAATAACCCCCAATATCCTTCATTATTTAAAACGGAAAACATTCACACCAACCCTACAGATATATACATATTAAAAAAGAAGTCTTCTGCAATTATTGGTTGAATTAGTTTATGATAAATCATAAAATTGATGAAATTTTACCTGATCGATACCGGAGTCCATGTCTGTCGATTGCCGTTGCCATGGATATTTTTTCACGAAACATAAGGATGTAAACAATGATTTGAGGCGTACTCAGAAACAGTGCGGTGTTGCCAGTTTTTTTTTAAATATTGCATGCATTTCTGAATAGGGTGCCCAACAGTCCCAATACTGGTGCCAGAGCTGCACCAAACCTGTTTTTTTGGCACATCCCATTTTCTGGGATGGTGAAGAGCCACGCAAAAGTAAACAGCCGATGACCCGGCAGCTCCAGCTCCAGCTCATCAGCTCAGAACTAGAGTCAATCGTACGAATAATCCGGGACCTGTTCTACGGTGGCCATATTGCTCTATGGATGACGTTTTGTGTGCCATTGATTGATCATATTTTGTCCAGTAGATGTGATATGATATGTCGCTTGATA